AGACATTTTACCGTAGGTTTTCTTTTGGGCACCTGAGTCGAGCACGATTTGGGGTCTTGATCAGCCTTTCAAAGAGGCATTTTCTATTTGTCTATCTATAGAATACATATATATATAGTATATGTATATACTTAGATATACATATCACCTTGTAAAACCTTCACACCCGATGTTCAAAGATTTGGTTTTCCAGGTTGAGACCCTCAAGAGACCCTAAGTCTCACGTAGACCCCAGCCGTAGGTAACATAATGCTGCAAAACCCTTAGGAATAGTCCAAAATAACAGTATTTGACATACTTTGGGGGGTTTAGGTAAGCGTAAAACCCTAAACCCCACACACTACACCCAGAAGGGTTCTTGGCAGGGACCGGTGGCCTGATTTCTCTGTTAACCGGGGAACAGTGCCTTTGCTTCAACGGGCTGGCGGGGTTGAAGGTTCAGATTTTATTTCAGAGTTTAAGGTTTAGGGTTCAGTCTAGGCTTCAGGGCTCAGGGTTCAGGCTGTAAGGTTCAGGGTTTATGGTTTTTGCGTGGCTCATTGTTCATGATTAAGGGTTTAGAGTTCAGCCCTGTAGGGATGTGGGTTGTGCTGTGCTTGACGTGATGTATTGTTTACAGGACGTCCCGGGCGGTTTGAGGTGATTTGAGGAGGGCGAACCATGACGGCGGCGCACAATCTGATTCTAGATGTAGAGTTGAGGCGCACTGCTCGTCTCATGTTGATGATTCCGATCTGTCGTGCTTTTCCTCTCATAAGTATACGGGATTTTGGTGACCCCAAACCCCAACATGAGGGCCCCCTGACGTCTATCACCTTCCGTACTCTCAAGGATCTCGAACTACCAGGAAGTTATTTTGGAAGTATGGAGCCCTTCCGAAGAGGGGAGTCTTTCTTTGCACGCCTCCAATACTTGAGGCACCTTAAATTTCTTGAACCTTCCTTTCTTGATATCTCAAGCCCCTAAACCCTAAACCTCAACCCCCAAACCCTAAACCTAAACCCCAACACCCTAAACCTCTAAACCCTAAACCCTTTTCAGTCTCGCAGCGAGTCTGGGCCTTGATTGTGTGCCCCAGGCTTGCTCATTATGGCAACCTGGAGCAGAGAACGCATGCAGGCTGAAAAGGGTTTAGGGTTTGGGGTTTTGGGGTTTGCTTCCACATCTTGGCTGAATATTTGGGGGGTTCCATAGAGCGTATTGGGAGCATATAAGGGGTTATAAGGCTTATACAGGCTGCCGGGTTTATGGCAGGAGGATCTTACCCAAATTTTAGATCCTATGATGAGCATGTGATTCTTATATAGGATCCTTCTCATAGGGGATGGGGTGACCGCAATCCCCTCATTATTGGTCACTCTTACCATGGTCTTGCTAGTGTGATGCTTGTGGTGACCTATTTCGTATGCGCATCACCATGACTATTGCTGCTGCAGTATGGCTTTGATTGCGTACTTTTTAGTCATGTGCCTGTATGGTGTGCTGTTCACTTCCGACGCCCTACACCCCCTCTAAGGCTGAACCTGAAGTTTAAGCAATGACAGAAAAAAAAGAGTGCAGGCGCTATCTTCACGCTGATTGTGGGGGTTGCCGCGGGCTCAGCTTTGGCTTTTTGAGTCCGAACGGGCGCAAGTCTTCTTGTAGGGTGCGGGCGTCAGCCGCCTCAATTTTCTGGGCTCTGGAGCAGTCGAAGTGGTACTTCACTAGGATTGCAGTCTTGTGGACAAAATTGCATTCAGGTCATCACGCTGATGGGTATCTTCCGCCTGGCTTTCCTCGTGCGCTTCCTCTCACGCCCCGCGCAACCCTGCTCTGAACTTGCTGGTTGTTAGTGGGGAACTGAAGGAATGGACAAGAAAATGGACGCTACTATGTTTTTTACAGCTTAAGGGACTACTATAGGGATACATTTCTCCGTTCTCTATTAGCATTATTGCATTAAAGCCTAGCCAGAACACAGGCTAGAACTAGACAGCTCTACAGATGCGTCTGCTTTCAGTGTCAACGAACCATCCTTTCGCTTGGAGCAGTATGCTGACAGCAGCTTGGAGACGTACAAGTGAAAGTCTAGGCTTCCAGCGTAACGCCAAGGGTTAAGGATTGGTTTTCAGGGTCGGGAGCTAGGGTGTTTCAAGGTCTGCACCCTCCCTTGCAAAATAGCGGCTGGGTGAGGGTCCTCTGCAAGTCTGCCCAACAAATCCTTGTGCGCCAAAATATCTGCCTCTCCTACCCACCTGTTTGAATCACTTGTTGCTTGGCCTTGCAACCCATTGACCTCAGAGCTCTCAAATCCTCGCCCTATACTGGCTGAAGCCTCTCATCTCCCACTCACTGGACTGTAAGCTCTCCATTCTCTCCAATCGTGGTTATACCCCCTCCTCTCTTGCCGCTAGACATCACCTGGGGGTCGTTGTAAATCATGCTTCCTTTGGGGAACTCAGTCCAATCAGTATCATCCTTACACTATAGGGTGCACCAGAAATGCCCAGAGTTCCGAACAACCCCCATATTTCTTCAGGCTTCAGCCCCAAGTTTCAAGACATCCAGCTCCCACGATGAGGCTGAGTGGCTTCATCACCGCCAGCGCATGGCCCTCAGCATTTCAGGCAGTCCATACCACCATAGTTCCATGGGCGTGGCCAAGAGGGATATACAGGATGTATTTTACTTCGGACTGCTATTCCGCTGCCCGTGGAGTTCTGTATAAGTTAATTACCGCGCATGTGGAAGCATCAAGCTTTAAAACCCTTTGATACCCCACCTCCACCTCCTACCCCTAGTCCCTCCCACTCTCTTGAGCCGGAGCTATCCTCATCATAAACCCTAAAACCCTGAATCCCTAAACCCCTAAATCCCTAAACCCTAAACCCCTAAACCCTAAAACCCTAAACCCCTAAACCCCAAAGAGCCGAGGCTATCCTCATCATGGCTTCACAGATCAAGCCCATGCTGGGACTGCCCAAGTCTGACACCGGTGGCATCTTTGTCAAGGGCTCAGATCAAAGGCTTTAGGGTTCAGGGTTT